TCGTCCTAAACTTGCGGCACAACAACGGCTACCTGCTTGGGCAAATTGGGAATGCCGATCAGACGCCTCTTTACTTCGACATGCCTGGCACCACAACCGTCGAGAAGAAAGTGGAGAAGCAAGTTCGCGTGCTGACATCGGTCCACGGTAAAACTACAGTGACGGCAATGCTCTTTTACACGTCAGATGGGCACAAGCTTCCCCCGTACCTCATATTTAAAGGGAAGACGCTCCCGAAAGGAGTCGTTTCTTTTAAGAGGTGTGATGGTGCGGGTCGGCGAGAAAAATGGGTGCGCGTTGCAATCGATGTCTTGCTTGTTTTTTCCGTCGTGGAAATTGGGTGCGCGTTACAATCGAGGGCGCGGTAAAATCAAGTAAATACGGTATAGGACTAATATAAACCCGGTGGTGATCGAGTCCTACCCTATTTTAAGATTGAGAAACCTCTTGCGCAGCTTACAAGGGGAAAGAAGTTCACGAAGCTCGACTTGCAAGACGTTCACCAGCAGGTCCCACTCGATGAAGAGTGCCAAGAACTAGTCATCATTACTACTCCGAGGGGGTTGTACTGATTCACAAGGCTGCAGTTCGGGGTTTCATTAGCTCCGACTGGTATTTCAGCGAGAGATGGAAAATCTTTAGCACAGCTTTGACCATGTCGTAGTCTACTTTGACAATATTCTGGTCATGGAAACCAGTGACAAAGAGCTTTGGGAGAATTTGTGCGAACTATTGGATCACCTAAAAACTGCGGGACTGCAACTGTAGTTAACCAAATACAAATTCTCGAAACCGCTTCCAGTACTTGGGCTATAATACTAGTGCAGCAGGGCTGCTTCCAGACCCTGCTACCTCTGCCAATTTTGTTGTTGACTGCCCTGCCAAAGTCATTGTGCTGGAAGGAGTATACCGATGGGTGCTGTCGTCAAATGTTGTGGTGGCAGCCACCTCCAGAGACATGGTGCTGTCGCAAGTAAGAGCAGCGTTGTGAGGCAGGCTGCCAGATAAACCTAGAGTCAGTGGGAAAACCCTACGAGACGCCCTTTCATGTGATGAGTGTGCTAGGGAACTGTCTATTGTAAGGCAACAGAGTCATTGTTCCAAAATCCTTACAAAGGAAAGTCCCCCAGTTGCTGCCTGAGAGTCATCCAGAACTTTTCAAAATGAAGGCAGTTGTGCGTTGCCGTGTGTGGTGGCGTAGCTTGGAAAAACGATATAGCGATAACCATTCAAGGGTGCCATATTTTCCAGGAGCATCAAAGAATGTCACGACCAGTACCTGTCATGCTCTGGCTGTTCTCTGAGACAACGTGGTCACGGCTGCATGTGCACTGTGCTGGTCTTTACAGAAACATTTATTCTTTATCGCAGTCGATGCGTTCGGATTGAAGTGTTTCTGGTATCCACACCATCAGCAGCAACTATTTCCTGCATGCAAATTATGTTCGCGAACCAAGGCCTTCCAGATGTTGTCGTGTTGGATAATGGGCCAGCATTTACCAGTGAGCTCTACTCAACATTCCTCAAGAAAAAAGGGGGTAACGCATGCTGGTGCTGCCGTATCCCCCAGCGTCAGATGGTTCTGTAGAGCGAGCAGTGCAAACTGTCAAAAACAAGTCGGGGAAGGCTGGCCCTAGAGATATTGGCGCTCAAATTGCCCGCATGCTCGCACGCTTCTGTCTTACTAGTCAACGCCTTACGAGATCACGGGTTGCTGTTCGTTGCAGCTGTTGTGGCAGAAGCTGAGGACTGTGTTGGACCTGCTACATCCAGACCTCAGGACTAAGGTGCTACAGAAGCAACTTCAACAGAAAGTCAGATGTGGCCAAGAAACAAGACCCAGGTTTTGTGTTTCCCTGGCAACCAGGTGTTCGCTAGGAACTTCCGTCTAGGCCCTGCATGGCTGCCCGCAGTCGTCTCCGAACAACGCACTTTGTTGATAGAAGTCCTGCTGGAGGACGGACGGCGTTTAACTCGACATCTGGGTCACATCCACCAGCCCCATGAGGAACTGAGTGCAGGCAACCAAAGGTCAGGCAGCCCAGTAGCTACAGGTCTTGCTTCAAGTTTGGACATGGGTCAGAGGCCGCTAACTCTGGATCGCCTTCACGACACCGAGTCTAGGCAAGATCTCAGGGAAGACCTGGCGAGGGAAAGGGAACTTGCTGTCACAGCACCTGTCATGTGTCGAAGTACCAGTATCGCGCTACTCACCTTGTTTGCATCCATTGATAAAAGGGGGAGGGATGTGATAAGATTAGTTTGCTGTGCCGGTGCTGCGTCGATGTTTGGAATCAATAAATACGGCACACTTCACCAGCCAGTCAGTGTAAAACCCGCGAACGTACGTGTGCATTTTGGTCCAGTGGATGGCATGGCGTAGGACTACCCGGTTATCACACGATGTCGTCATGCAAAGTGAAGTCTTTAAATATTCAAAATCTCCAGCAGCTTGGAATTCACGTGACTTTCAATGGGTTAAAGGTAGTCTGTAAGAAATCGCGAATGGATCAGCAATATGCCTGCTACCTGTTATACCAAGGCTTATTACAGTGAAGTAACCTTCAGAGTGAGCACCACAATTAAATTTCAGGTGTTGGCCGAACACCGATGGATAATCGGGTTGTGTGTTATCATGCCGGCAAAGTGAAATGAAAACTACCCCAAAGACAGCGAGGCTCAAGACATGTCATTAAAGAGGAGAGTTTCTTTAGCATATCAAGGCGACACTCCGGAGAAGCGCAGCAGTTCGCCCTGTCACTGCAGAATGGCAGTCACTTTCTGTTGCCTAGGATTTGAACACAATGTCAGAATTCTTGCGTTACTTTTTTCTTTGAGCATAATGCAAATGGCTGAAAAGATTTAATTAAGTCTATTAAATGAAAAGTCTACATTGATAACAGTAAATTGTTTTGTTGGACATTTTTGATCGGTTTATAGTAGTATCGCACTGTGACCAAAAACCATGTTCTTTAGTGCCATCTCACTGAAAGCGCTTCGAAAGGGATGTTATTGATGGTGCCCCTGTATTGGAATTCCTTGGCTCTCTTTTTTTGTTGTTATCACAACTAGTACCATATTTACTCGCTTAATGAACCCACTCGTATAATGAACCCACCCCCCACCTTCGCCTGGAAAAAAGATAAAAGCTTTTTTGTAATGTATCTGTTCAATTTATTTCGGTATGATAGCCAGTGCCGTTGACGATCGAAACAGCATTAAGTCAAGCAATTATATCACAAAATAACAATGCAATAAAAGTCAAAACATAGTTTTGCAACCATGCTTAACAGTTGCAAGCAGTGCGAGCGCGGACGACGTCAATCAAAATTTGAAAGTCGCGCCTTTTACAGCAAAGCACCATCTGTTGAATGTAAGAGAAAACTGTGATAGCGCCACGCAAGCACAGGGGCACAAAAACAAAGCGCATGGCCTTCAAACTGGCGTGTGCGCGGCAAAGACACACGCTGCGCGCTAACTATTTCGAAGGCCATGCAAAACCCAACCGCACCCATTGCGCCAAAAGGGCGTTGCGCACCCGCAACGTTTGTGCGGCGCCATCTGATGCTGTTTTTTTATTGCGATAGTAATTATATGGATACTCTAGGCTGGGTTTCGCCATCAGCGTCACTCACCGTATATGTATATGTGTCTATGTATATGAAAACTCAAGAAAAAAAGCCGCCCTCGCTCTGCGCCCAGCTCGGTCACAATGCGCCGACGCGCGCTTATCTCCACGTGTACTTTGCCCCGCGAATGAGGAGGGGGGGGGGGGGGGGCTATAGATGTTTGTGTGCACGTGCTTATCTTTCGGTGGTCGCAAGCCTTCCACCCTGACAGGAACGATTGCGTTTAGTTACCGGGCACACAAAGATCCCTTCGCTCACTGGACAGGTGCTGTTTGTGAAAAGAGTGTGCTTTTCAAACAGCGAAGTGGGCACTTGTTACTCATAAGTAATTCTTAAAAGAGAGAAAAAGAAAACAAAAGGGAGCCCCGTAACTGTCTGCATCATAGTGCGACACCTCAACAGTGGCTCACGAGGGATGGGGTAAGGAGGGATTAAAAGGGATGGGGAAGAATTAAGGGGATAGGAATAGAGATGGGGGCAGAGACAGAGAGACCCACATACAGAAGTAAGGAGAAGATAGGAGAGATTGACACGGTCGCAGGAGTCTGAGGACTGGGTACCACTCAGTGAGAGCTTCACGACATCATGAGATGGCGGAGGGCGAGCCGGTCAGCCAGAGCTGCGCTGTCGTCGGAGATCGCGGGGGCACAACCGGTCGGCACGAAATCCAGCAAGCGAGTCGCGCTTGTTGCTCTTTATTTTGCCCTCATAATTGTACCTGTGATTACGTTTAGTGCGTCGGTTTTGCTTCAACAGCACTGCATGTCGAGCTGTAAACATTGTTAGTTCGCTTTTGTCCCGGGTGTGTTGTTTCGTGCTTCATGTGAGCGTGAACAGCGTGCTGCACGTTTCGATCTGCTAGCCGTTCTCAGCGTTGCATTCCAAGTTGTTGCTATCATAATGATTGCTTCGCCCTTGTGGTGAAACTGTCACTTTTTTGTTGTCGGGTTTATCGTTGTGAACTTAGTTGGGACACCTGCTGCACAGGGCGCATTCGGCCGGTACGCTAACTACACGGCTGGTTAAAAACAGCAAACGATGGGGCATTTGAACTGAGCGGCTGGACAACACTTCGGCGTTGATCTGTGTGCTTTCGTTACGTGAGGAAACAGAAAGAGCTTCGGGCTACAAAAAAGATTTATCTCGCATTTCACTGGCCCAAACAAGCAAAGCTGTCACGCGAAATTTTTGCCGTTGTGACTACCATGACTTTCTTTTCCTGCGTAATGAACCCTCTCCCCAAATTAGCGCGAACTTTTCTGAAAAAAAAAAGGGGGGGGGGGGGTCATTACGCGAGTAAATACAGTAGTTGATTGTTGTACCAAAGCAGGGAAAAGACACAATTGAACTTGCCTTCATATTGCATTGCAGTGACCTCGTGGTGGATATGCTGGTCTTGGGTGGAGACTACCTGTTGCCGTCCAGAGAATCCCTGGATGAGTTGTGCCCCAACATGAGTGAGTGCTGACCAACATAGTCGCGACATTCCATCACTCTTCTGCATGACTGCAAAAGACTTCTATCACTATCACTTGATGCACATTTCTTTATTTTTGCTTGAGTTGCCATAATGAAATCTCCTAAAATGAACAATTTCAGATTGTTTATCACTTTTTTTTCACAGATACTGTAATACACATAGGATAGTTTGCTTATAGGGGATTTTAGAAGGGTGGAAATGCATTACATAGCGATGAAAATGTAGGCAACAAGACAAAGAAGAGCAGCATACATTGTTTCAGAAGAAAAAAATACAACTCTTTCAACCATCGATTAAATTTAGACAAAATTTGCAAAAAAGAAATACATGTTAAGAATAGATATTTGCAAAGTGGCGTAACTAGATGGGACGGCACCCATGGCAAATATATTTTTGTGCCCCTCGTGATGGTAATTAGAGTGATCATTATTTTTATTATTATTATTACAATGTTTGTGCAAAGAAATACACCGTCTCCCGCTCAAGGGAACCATGTGTTGATGCGAAGCTGCGGGGAGATGGAGACGGCTCCAACATTCAGAACCTCTACGTCACTAATGCTGCCGGTGACCAAATCTTCCACTGAATGAAGGACAACGTGGACAAAAACAAGATGACCGAATTCCAGCACCTAGACAACCATCGTCTCGACACCATGACTCCGCGTTACTTCCAACGCTTTTTTCACCGCCGACTCGAGAAATAGAGGAGGGAAAGCGTATGAGAGGAGAGAAAAGGCGTGAGGTCATGGTTGCCCGGTGGGGGTGAGGACGCAGCGGCAAGAAGGAGAGACAAAGCCTCCGCCATAAGCTGCTTCGCCTTGAAAAGCCATCTGGCTGTTTTGGGCAAGCGAATTGGCGACCTCTTGATTGATTGCTCACTACAGTGAACTAAAGCCGTCTTGCACATCTACGCATCGTACGACATAACAGAAGCCCACAAAGTGAGAAAAAAAAAATGTGAAAGAAATGCACCTTGCTGGTCACTTTTCTAGTTTACTGGAAATATACGAAATTCGTAAATGAGTGCAATCAAACAAAAAAGAATGACGAGACTGCATATAAACTATTTCTATAATTTTGGCACGAGAAGTATTGTTCCAAATTACTTATTTCGTTCATCAAATCTGCATACTATGACTACTTTTTTTTTTTTGGTCAATGCTAATGATTCATATGAAAATTCATTCAGGAAAAGCCTGTTGTCGAAAAATCTCCACGCACGCCAGTGTAAATTTTAGATTGTGAACAATTGCTATTAAAAAAAAAGTTGTATACATTTCACATAGTGCACGCACATTATGAAAGGAGCTGTTGCTAATTGGTCACACATTTTTGCCATAACAGCTGCACTCTAGATCCGAGGTCTCCAACACGGGACCTGTGGACCTCTCGCCAGTGAACCCCGGCCCGCACGCGACTGTCTTCATCGCACTTTGCTTTCCTTTTTTTCCCCTAATTGGCGTGGTCATGAGCTACACAGGCATAACTTGTCTAGAGAATTTTTTTTTCTCAAGAAACCCCTGCAGTCAACATGTGTTGATACTTAAGTGCCAAAGACAAACAAAATTTGATATTTTAGAACTGCCGAGACTTAACTCTTTTTGGAGGTATGTTTAATGTTGTTGCAATCGCGGTGCTCAATCGCCTTAGAAAATGACCGATGTATGAGATAGGGGAAAAAATTTCAAGTTGCAATGTTAGGTATTTGAAACATATGAGCCTTCTTTGTGTGTGTTTTGGGCCCCATTCAGAGTCTATATCAACGAGATGTGACACTGATAACATGTTATGCAGCCACCATAGCCCGTTAACATGTCTATTTTTCCATTTATTTATTCATATACCCTAAGGGCCTATGTGGGCATTGCATAGGGGGGTAGGTGCAATACTGCGGTGTTATGTTCACAAAAGAAACACTTACATAGAACATGAAAAATAAAAAGGTAAATGGCCAAAGCACGAGAAGTTCGCATCAAAACTAAAACATACTAATGCAATGCAGCACTCGGTAAGGCTTGAAACAAGGTACGCAATAACTCATGTCATATTGGCACTAGACTAAACAAAAGAAAGCTACAAAATGTAACAGTTCTGCATTCCACATCTCCTTTAATTTTCTAAGAAATCGTTCAGTTTCAACGTCGCTTGGCAGTTTATTCCAATCATAAGTTGCAAGAAACAATGGTGAGTCGCGAACGAACAGTGGGTTGTATTTTGATCCAGGTGTGGAAACATGCAATGAGTTGGTTTAATCTTTGAATGTAAAAAAGGAGCATGTGGAAATGAGGCCAACGTTTTTCTAGAGTAGGTAATTTCAAGGATGTTTTTTTAATACCTTTTATGCTATATATCCGGAAATATTTTCCTGGGATAAAGCAGGCTACTTTGTTTTGAATGGCCTCAAGCTTGTGAATCAGGTATTGCTGGTTAGGATTCCAAATAAGGGTGGCGTAATCCATTTTCGTGCAAACTAAAGTTATGTACGCGAGAAGTTGTGGGGTCTTGGATTTGCAAGCCAGCGCCACGCCACGCTCTTGAAGTTAACGAACACAGCAGACACGGTCGATACATAAATCATAATCAACACGCTAGGACATCATTACACAATATTACCATACACTCCAAAAACATGACAAACACAATAACACATCCAAGGCGGCGTTGCCAACGCTTGACTTACCATGAGGGCCCCCGACGCGCAACTCACGGTGTCACGCATCGGGGACCCACGCTAGAGACAACCGTTCCCGGCAACCGCACGCGCTGAAGAGCTGCTTATTTCTTGCGCGCCGCCACCAAGAGTTGCCTGCCGCCAGGGGTTACTGCTGGTGCTATCGCTCTAACAACTATGATGATGATGATGACAGCGGTGATCACTGCTCGCGTACACAATGCCACCTACCGCCTGGTAGCTGTAACCCTAGATGCAGCGTTTGGGCGAGACACGAGCGCCACGTGGCGCAAACAACTTTACAGGGGGTGTCAGCACCTTCACATATTTCTAACCTTAATTCAGACCATATCGCAAAAATAAAAGAAATGCGCTACACAATCTCTAATAAAACATGACAATACATGGCCCTTCATAACGTCTGTGCACCACGGCACCGCCGCGGGTCCACACTGCTGCACTGTTCAGCTCGCAGACTTCACCTCAGTACCGGTCCCGCAACAGCAACGTTGCAGTCAGCGCGATGTCCGTCACTCGCGCCGACAAGTCTTCCGGTTGCGACCAGCACTCACAAGGACGCCGAACTGCAGACAGTTGCACAGGTCCCAGGCATGTCCATCGCCCGAGTTTACGACTGCATTCTTGGCCAGCGGCGCTGACGATGTGCGGAACACAGCCAGCTGTGGAGTCCGGGGAGCTTCAGGCTTTTCGCCCACATGGTGCGATGGTCAGTACTACTAGCTAATATATCGACGGCAGGCCGAGACACCCATCAAAATAAAACAAAAATCACTTGTCATAACTCGTGCATCACAAGATAAAAAAAGTGAGAGAAGCAGAGTGCAACACCTTAACGGCACGATCCACCTAGTTGAGCCACGTGTGACAGGCGGCTGCGCAGAGCCTTAGGCCTAATGAGTCGCTCGACAACAACCGGCATCCACACAGCACCCAGCCTAGGCGCAGAAAAGGCAGCCGCAAGGAGACATCCACTCTCTAAGGCGGCCCTATCGCTCGCCGCACACAGCAGCTTATCGAGCGACCGGCGTCCACCGTCCCGGACGGTGTCGTGACGCCCCGGTGTCGAGCCGCAATACCAGACAGCAACGACGCCTGGCTCCCTGAGCCTAAAAGAGATAGAAGAAGCTATTTACAGAAAACCGGACCACCCATGAGGCTTCCGTACTCGCTTGGGACCTGGCCTACAAACCATGTGCTCTAAAGTTTTGCTCACCCCAGGATGCAGACCGTATGGCTCTCGTCCCAACTGAACAACGTTCTTGAAAACTAACAACAAGAAAAAAACACTTGCGAACAGAAAAAAAACTCAACGTGCCAACAAGTTCAAACATGCCACAACAACCAATCTCCTCGCTCTCAACAAAGCACACCACAGACGCTAGCAAAGAAGTTCCCTTAGGCCTACTCTACCCCGGCTTTTACAAAAGCTTGTACCGAACCGCGAAAACTGTCGTCCAACGCTCCAAGAGCCCCATGTTGGGCAGCCAGTGTAGGGTATTGAATTGGCGAGCAAGCGCCACTGCCACGCTCTTGGAGTGAAAGGACACAGTAGACACGGTCGGTAAAACAACAACATACATTTGTATAACAAATTTAGAACGACGACATCGTCAGCCGAATAATTGTAACATAATCGTGATCAACACGCTAGGACACCCTTACACAATATTACCGTACACTCCAAAACATGACAAACACAATAACACACCCAAGGCGGCGGCGTCAACGCTTTACTTACCACGAGGGCCCCTGACGCGCAACCCGCGGTGCCACGCATCGAGGAACCACACTAGAGACAACCGTTCACGGCAACCGCCACGTGCAGAAGAGCCGCTTATTTCTTGCACGCCGACACCAAGAGCTGCCTGCTGCCAGGGGTCGCTGCTGGCACTATCACTCTAACAATATGATGAGGATGATAGCGCTGATGATGATAACTGCAAAGAATGAAACGTGATGACCGGTTTTGAATTGCCCCTAATTTGTTAGCAAGTGTTACGTGGCCGGGATCCCATTCACATGCGGCAACTCCATCTAGTAGAGAACAAATTCAGGTGATGTACAGCTGTTTCTTAAGAAAAGTAGGTGCAACAGCATAGTTTTTTTTTTGTAGCCAAGCATGCAATCAGGCTTGGATGTGACATGATTAATGTGGCCGGACCATGATAGCGAGTTGGTAATGTGAACACCAAGATACTTATAAGACTGGACATATTCAAGCGGGGTTGCGTTCAGGCTGTAGGAATAGTTATGTATAGATGTGTGGTTACGTGAAACTCTCAT